AAGCAAAAGTCAAAATCAAAACAAAATTAAAGCGAAGTTAAAGCGAGAGTCAAAATGAAAATCAAAGCGAAAGTCAAAGTCAAAGCAAAAATCAAAGTAAAAATCAACAACCGAAGTTAAAGCGAAGAACAAATGAAAGTCAAAACAAAGATCAAAATAAAAATCAAAGTTCTAATGTTTATCATTAAGCACGATAAACATAACTTTACTAGCAATTGGTTTTCAAAGTCATATATAAGCCAGAAAAAAATCCGGCTACTAATTTTTCTAGACGGCACTATGTACCAGTAAGTTTTGTGGCTTAGTTGCCATAGCTCGAAGATCGGACAGGCCCTTATTCATAATAATTTTTAATTTTGGGCTGCTATATGTAATAATTTTTATTTTGGGCCCTCATCCGTAATTATTTTCATTTTCGGTCCTTTATGTGTAAATTTCTCTTAATTTAATAAGTTGGTGAGTCTATTTGGTTAACACAAAACAATGCTAAGCACCTTGCATATTATGCCTTGATACTATTAATAGTGACAAAACAGAAGCATATATAGATTTACCTCATGAATTTGAAATGCATCCTAATTACTATATTCTATTTATATATGATTCTTATAATATTCCTTTAAAATTATAATCAAAAATACCTCTTATTTATACTAATCTCTACAGATTAATAAATATTACTAATATATTCTCTTCAACACCAACTAATAGAACAGATGATATACTTAATAATAAAACAAGCTCGAATAATTCTAAATCTATTTTTACAGATATTAGAAAATTTTTTTATATCAAAACTGCACAAATTTTTAAGTAAATTACTTATATGCAGATTTGTACTAAACTTCATACCTGGTGGCGATTTTCAAAGAAATAATTTTAAAAATCTGTGCAGAACTTTATTTAATTAAAAATTTGCACAATTTTTATTAATAAATATCTGTACAAAATTTTATTAGTAAAATTTGTACAAAATTTTATTAATACAATTCTGTGCAAAATTAAATTAGTAAAATCTGTGCAAAATTTTATTAATACAATTTTGTACAAAATTTTAATAATTATATATAATCAGATTTATATTAAAAAATCTAATATAGAATAACAATTATCTAAATATGTAATCAATAATTTATAATAATTTATAATTGATAATTTATATACAAACTAATAATAAAAAAATTAAATAATTTATTATTTTATTTAAATCCTAATAATATTTAAATATATAAGTTTACAAAACTATTTCTAATCCAAATTCTAATCTTAAAACTAATAACAAAACTAATTCTAACTTTAATCTTAGAATTACATTTATTATATAAAATCTAGTAGAATTACCACAACAAGTAGCAGAAGAACCAGTATCTGGTGATAAGATAGCTATCAGTAAATAAGCACAAGAATCTAATAGTGATGAGAAGGAGAATGACGATAATGAGGCAGAGGGTGAAAGATCAAACTTAACTGATAACAATACAGAACTTGGAAGAAAAGAAAAAGAATTCTTGAGAAAAGATCACTCTTGAAATTTCTTTTATTGTTAGATCATTTTGAACCTCTTGTAAGATTA